ATTTTACTCTAGGTCTAGGCCAACAAAAGTGTTATTAATGTGTTGTTCATTGTATCTAAATCTAGCAAAAGTAACTTAAATTATTAACATTAAAAAAAGTCAAATATTGACCTCTGTAGATGTTTCGGAGAAGTGTGTAAAGTAGAAGGAAATGGTAATACTCAAGTTCAGTACAAGAACCTCAAAATTGTACTAAAGTTTTAGAGTAAATGCAGAGAAGTGTACTCACTCTTTCTCCAGGCCAGCTACCACGCTGTTAACGTAGTCCACGTCAGTCTGCAACACACAACGACACATTATACGCTCTGACCTTTGACCTTACACAGAGCGTGGTGCTACTATGACTCGTAATGGATGATTTTAAGATCTGACCTCCCCAACGTAGACGATAATGACGCAGTCGAGCTTCTCCTCGGGTGAGAGCTTGTCTATCAGCGAGCGCAGCGTCTCCGACAGGTAAGACTTCACCTTCCGCCTCACAGTGGGGATCCCCATCACCATGGTAACTGAGAAGAACAATAAGAAGTGTGAGGTGAAAACAGGGAGGGGGGAAGGCTGCAGGGGTGGCGGTTTAATCAAATGGATCCAAAACCCTTATTATTCGCTTGTTAGACATCAGCTAATTACATTGGCCATACAAACTGAAATTCATGCCCAGACTGACAGATGGCAGTGGGAAGAATGACTAATGCAGCTGCAATAGCATTCTGCATGTTAATAACGAAAAGGGGTTTTTAATATTAATCTTACACAATGTGGCTAAAAGGGGCCCTATTGGCTATTATGCTCATTTTCAGGTTCATAATTATATTGTGTTTTTCTACTGTGACATGTCTCCATGCTTTAATGTTCAAAAAGCTCTTTGTTTTTCTCATACTGCCTGTGCTGCAGCACCTCTTTTCACCCTCCGTCTGAAAGCAGAGCCCAGTCTGCTCTGATTGGTTAGCTGGCCGGCTCTTTTGTGATTGGTCAACCGCTTACAGGTGTCCCGCCCCTTAGCCTATCACGTACAATGTGTTGGAGCGCTCGCCAATTGAAGTGCAAGTGTTATATAGGGATTTCATTATGTAACAGAAGTAAACAAAGGAGTCCAATCAAGCGTTTCAGGCCGGGAGTGAGTGTGTCATTGGAACAGAACGTAGAAGCAGGATGTTTGGACTTTAGACAGAGGTAACACACACATTAACATCAACCTATCTAGAGATCTGTCGAGCATTGCTAAATTATTTTATGAGCTTTTCCTCTCTGCAAACAAAGTCAGTCAGGCCAACGCCAAAAGCAAAGAGAAGCATACGTTGACAGAGGTATACATTACTTACTTATGAGCTGCACCTGTATTCAATTACCTTTTGTTTGTTTGTTTGATCCCTAAAATGTCAGAAAATAGTAATTGAAAAAATGTTTTTTCCAAGTCCAAGGTGGTGTCTTTATGTCTTGTTTTGTAAGACCAAACCCCCCAAAAGAATCAGTTTAACGTCATATATAACAGAGATAAGCAGGAAAACTGAAAACAGTCAGCATTTTTCCATAAAAATACTTTGATGAATAATCGATTAGCAAAGTAGTTTGTGATTACTATCAAATCGAATAGTCGACCAATGGCTGCAGCTCTACGAAAATTGCCAACTGAAAGAGGAAAAAGAGAGTGCCTATTGTCTTCTTCTTATTGCTTGGTGGTAGTTGCTTCTAAACAAACAGCCTCTTCTTCAGTGGGGAGAGATTCCCCACAACAGACTGTTGTTGACATAAAACTAGTTCATTTTACCCACAAGGATACAAGGACCACTTTCACGGGAGAGTTGAGAGAGTACAGCGAGCCCACCCTGTTGTGGCCGCAGAAAACAATTTATCAGGCTGATCATCTGACACTGAATCAGTGTTTTCCTCATGATAAGGAAAGAAAGACCAGACAGCAGCATGAAATCGGCCATTTAGTCTGCTGGCTCTCTATTATATTCTCTTTTTGTCTTCCTTTATGGACAGTGTACTTTACTGAATTCTAAAACAAGGGATAGACTCTACTCAGGGCAGTTTTGCATAATGTTTATCATATTGATCCCAAATGCTTTTCCAGAGAAACTGTTGATTATTGAAGGTCATGGTTGATTTTCATGGACGGAGGTTAATGTGTATACTGTTTGCAAGTGTGTGTTTAATATGAGGTTAGAAAGGGGTCAGCATGAGCTGGTGGGGGGGCTGCAAAAAAACACAGTCGGGGAGCAGTTCAGAAGGAGTGAGCAGCGCAGGGGGCTGGAGAAAGGCTGCAGAGTGATGTGAGCAGCGTGGAGAATCTGTCCCAGTTTCGCTTTGTATTTCTCACACTGAGCTTCGTGTCGTATAGCGACACCCACCACCATCACCGAGAAAGTAGGTCGAGGATGAAAGCAGAACGTGGGAGGAAGGAAAAGAGACGGAGAGTGACAGAATAAGGAGGGTGGCAGACAGGGACTGAGTTATAATGCATGCACTCCGACTCAAAGATGGCCCCTCCCTGTGTCCCTCGATATGCTCAGATACGAAAAGGAAAACAGTCAACTTTTCTGTCTGCTGTCTGAAAAGAAATGAGATAAAGGAGCTGCTGTTCAGCTGGGTTTAATATGTCCAGCACATTGTTGCTCAATTATTTTCTTAAATGTCCTTAATAAGTTGAAAATATGTATTAATGATGAGATATTAGAAATAATACATTAAAAAACATATCTACGTTTTATATAGAAAATACATTATGTTATTGAAATTATTTATAATATTTAAAGAAAATAGATCAAATATGTTGGAATATTTAAGATATTTGGTTTTATAGTTAAAACTATAATTAGTCAAAGTTATAGAACATAAATATGTGTGGTTTTAGTGGCATATTTTTATGGAATTTCTTATGATACACAAAAAATAACTATTTCAGGGGGTGGACATATTTTTCCTTTTGTTTGAAGCAGGGTTTTAAACACATATTTGATCGCCTTGTTGTGAAAAAAATATATAATGTGTTTCCATTATCTAAATTATTTATTTAAATCAAACTGCTGTTGAAGAACGACTACATTGTCATGCTTTGGGGTGATTCATGCATCACTGGGTCTCATGTTTTGTTTATCTGCTTATGGATAAATGTTTCCCTCATAAAGAGCAGGGTTGTTGCTCGGGACGAGAAGCTTCCGGAGTAAATGGGAGCTATATTTAAATACAGTACAGTGTGTGTGTGTGTGTGTGTGTGTGTGTGTGTGTGTGTGTGTGTGTGTGTGTGTGTGTGTGTGTGTGTGTGTGTGTGCAGCCTGCAGCGAGCTGGTCACTCCCTCTCTGGACAGGAAGCCTATGTGTCTATTTATAATCTACAACCCTAGTAGAAATCCTAATTTCCTTTTTGTAAAATTGGTCACGTTTTTCACAGACTCAATTTATAGTTTCTGGTTACTTAAGTAGTTCAGGCAATACATTGAATCTCCAACACAAGAGGCCTGGTAAAGGAAAAAAATCAGGCTATCAATAAACAGTCACAGCCATCATAAATCCAACCCCCCATGTTATGGGTTGAATCATCCAAACAGAAATGATGAGAGGGCAGAAACAGTAAGTAGGTTCTGTTTTGTGTTGGCTCTGCTGGTGTGACATTTAACAAAACAGCTTTACAGATTAAATGAAGAAATGTGTTCCTATCAGGTTGCAAATGCACAAATCCCAACAGGCATCCCAAAATGCCACATCTTACTGGTAAACCACTATTTTATTCTGATGTCAAAACACTTCAGATTTTAATGCTACATTCACACATTTCCAGGTGAAATGCAACACCCACAGCTCTGCCGTGCTTGCAGCAGGAAAATAGAACCTTGTCCTATTTCTTTCCTCAGTGTGGCATTGCAGCAATGCAGCTAGCAACTCAGGGCCCAGACCTAAATAAAAAGAAGGTGTGTTTCTCTTTACTTCAAGGGGAAATCAGGGAGGGTTAGAAGCTCATGCTTGTGTTTGCCTTGGCATTTATAGACACATTTCTGCACGAAAAATGAGGTTTGATATCCAAGGGACAACATCTGACACAAATATTTGTAAGAAAACAGTGCCTTGGTGTATAAGGGGGGGTTAGTGTGTTTCAGATTAGATCTTGTCGATTAGATTGTGTTGATGAACAAACTTAGAAAACAACTTCTGCCTTTCAGACTGACGAGTTATCATTTCCTTATGGTGTGATAGCATTGGGAATATAATATGGGCTGACCAGCGCAGAAAGAAGCAAGAAGAAGGAGATTTGAGCCGACACTTGACTGCAGTGAGAAGAGTTCACAGTGACTCCGGCATAAGGATTAAAAATGCGCCGGTGAAAGATGGCCGCATTGTCTTTTGGCTCCTCTCCAACTTTGCCCTTTTTCATATTTTCTTTGTGTTTATTTACTTTTTGCCATTTGCTTTTAACATGGTTCGCAACATGCAAGCCGACCGCACCAACTCTGCTATGCAATATAGCAGAGGAAGTTTTTCACATCAGAAACTTTGTGGACAATATCCCACCGACAGACAATGGAAATTCGCCATGGCTGCCTGTTGTCCTACCTGAGAGTCGATTGAAAATAAGCTAGATGAACTCAGAAGTCAGATTACTTTTCAACGGGACATTAACCCTCTGGAGTCTAAGGGTATTTTCTCGATTTTTAGACGTTTCCTTAAATCACCTTTTAAATGTACTTCTTATAACATGACACCCCATGTGTTACATATCAAAATGTTCAGGACAATCTCTGGTCTTGCTATTAATGCAAATTACTCACCTTAGAGCACTGTGTGATGAGATAAGTAGCTCTAAAGCTTAACATTTGACATCCGATTTTCGGAAAATCTTCAAAACTCTTGTGAAAACACACATTTTATAATTTCATCCAATTGTTTTGGTGTTTTAGATTTGGTTACCAAAGTCTTAGTGAAATATTTGAATTACACTATATAAATGTGTAATTCATGTCCAAAATAAAAAAAAATGTATTCGAATTTTGAGTAAAACAGGTGTTTATCACCTCTACTTTCACCACAACAGGGACTGAGATACATTAGGACTGAATAATGACTTCATATTACATACCAAGGTTCATGTGATGTGTACAAATACAAATTGAGCATTCAAACTTATTTTTTCCTTAGTGATTTCTCGATGTCCATTTCAGACCATCATGGCTGCCGGCCGAGATTCCCTTGACGGACACACAAATCCACCAATCCCACACAGTGTAAAGTCAAGCAATCATATTTCTACACCTTATAATCGAAAATATATGATTAATTACGTAAATTATGCGCACCTGGACGCGCCGGCGTGTCCACCGACTCCAGAGGGTTAAGAACTGTAACGTGTTAATTCTCACTGAGACTTGGCTCAACCCCGCTATCCCGGACTCCGCCATTGTTCCTGACGGATTCACTATTTTTCGCCAGTACCGGACAGTTAACTCGGGGAAAAGTAAGGGAGGTGGTGTGTGTGTCATGATAAACAATAACTGGTGTACAGATGTGAGGATTA